CATTTAATATGCGCGTGGTAGCTGGTAAAAGAAAGAGAAAGAAGAAGAAAAAAAAAAAAGAAAGAAAAAAGGAAAAAGAAGCTCTTTACCGATTAATCGATTTGCGGCGTTAATAAATTTGCATGTCTGATTACATCGTTGATCATAGAAAAAAAAAAAAATTACGATGGAGGAAGAGAATAGGAAAAAATTAAAAAAATTAGAAAAAGAGAACAGAAAAAATTTCATAAAAAGAAAAATTATTCAAATTTAGAAACCACATTTAATATATATATATATATATATATTCTTTATATTGTACAAATATTTTTTTTTCTGTCCCTCCACCCCCCAACCCTTCCCTCTCTCTTTCTATCTCTCTCTCTCTCCCTCTTTGGAGAAAATAAGAAATAATTCGCGAAAAAAAAAGGAGAAGAGGAAAAAAGAAACAAAAAAAAAAAAAAAATAAAAAAATAAAAAAAAAAAAAGAAAAGCCCAAACAAAAACTAAAACTGTTCGATAAAAGATCTCCTTTGTCGTGTCACTCGAATTAACATTTTAATTAACGATAAATGCAAGCAAAGAGAGAGAGAGAGAAAAAAAAAAAAGACGTATCATGGGAATTAGAACTCGTCAGCAGTTTTAGAAGCAATCGAGATAAGGGTACTACTATAATATCATTCATGGAGACGAGAAGAGAATCGACTCGTGGAGGTCGTTGAACTAATTAAGTACAATGTCGTATTTAATTACCAAGAGAAATCGAAACGATCGAAAATTTGTTGCCCTATAAATCATCATTTTCTCTAATTTGATTTTCATATATAACAATAGTACGATACCTTTTTATAACGATGAATCAAAAAAAATTTTTAAACATTACAAAAACACTTCGACAATTTTAATTAACTTTTATCCCAATTGATATTAATTATCTTCTCTTTCTTCTTTTTCTTCCTTTTTCTTTTTTTTTTTCTTTTTTTTTATCTCTATTCAAATTACTAAATTACAAGTTCCGATACGTAAAAATTACGGCATCAATAACAATACCAAAAAGGATCATCAATAGAATATCAATCGATCGTTAAAATCTTTTATGAAATTTTTAAATCCATCCAATATGATAACAAACATTACGATAAATTGATTTACAAATAAAACAATTACACGTCATCGTCGTATTGTAATTGCGAAATAAAGCATTGATCGTACGCGTTTTCATTCCCTTTATAAATGTTCACCTTTCATACGACGTATAAAGAAGGATAATAAATTCTAATAAATTCTAATGACCAATGTAATAATAGTAATACCGAATATTTGATTTCTTTTAAAAAAGAAAGAAAGAAAAAAAAGAAAAAAAAAAGGAAGAAAAAAATATGATTCCCATTGAAATCAACGAACGATAATATAAATCTATATTGTAAATTCGAAAATGAAAAATCTTTTTCAATGGGAAAAAGAAAATAAATCTAACAATATTTACTATTTAATGATTATTGTTATTAAATTTTATTTTCTCTCTCTCTCTCTCTCTCTCTCTCTCTCTCTCTCTCTCTCTCTCTCTCTATCTATCTATCTATCTATCTATCTATCTCTATCTCTTTCTCTTGAAACGTGTTGATAATCTATTTAAATTTTTTTTTTTAATGAAAATCGGTATACCCAATCGCATGTTCATTTCAACGAAAGTACTCAATCGAACGTTTCACTAATCAGAATGTTGATTTCAAACTGTTTGATGTGTAATTAATTAATACAGGTATTGCTTACCAATCGAGTAAGAGAGAGAGAGAGAGAGAGAGAGAGAGAAAGAGAGAGAGAGAGAGAAGGAGAGAGATATGTTAAACAGATCGATATTTACAATGGACTTATTATCACATAGGAAGTATATACATATATATATATATATATATATACACATAATAATAAATAAAGAATAATAAAATTATCTTTCGATGTTTAGAATTGTAAATTGTAAATAAGAACTAATAAACTACAAATGAACAGAATAAAATTATACAATATAATAAAAATACACGTATTGAATAAGACAATAAATTTTTTATTGTAAAAATAATATGACACAGTACGATAAATTATATTGATATGTTAAAAATTATGTTAGTATGTAAAAAAATCTATTTAATTTTTAAAGATGCTCTCATGAAAAAAAGATGTCATATCGATGATGAACTAAATGTAAATAAAGAAATATATATATATATATATATATATATATATATATATATATTAAATAAATGATTTATATAATGGGAAATTGCGACTATGAATAAACAAATAAATGAGGACTCCCTCTGATTGCTATTTTGTTTACCGTCAAATCCGTCGGGACTAAATTCGCAAGGAGAGTTCGTACTTCTATATATACTTCTGTATATGTATATATATATATATATATATATATATATATATATAAATAGACAGTACTTGGTCAAACACCTCGGCAAGAGCATGGAATACTAACTAGTTACGAATTTAGTAGCAGAATAGACAATGC